CCTTTCTTCATGTGGAAGACACATGCACACATAAGTCTAGCTGAGGACATGATAAGGAAAAGCTCATGGACGTTCCAAGATGGGCTTGGCCATGTACGGCTGTGTCATGCTGAGTCCCTGGGCACTGAGGAGGGTGGTCGGTGGGAGAGGACTCTGGTAGCTGGGAAGACCTGGGTGAAATCTGAGTTGGTGACGGGCATTGTCCCTGTCTTTCCACACTCTGTGCAGCGTCGTCCCCAGTGAGGCCCAGGATGGGGTTCCTCCATAGCAGATGGGCAGAAGAAAAGTGCGGAGGAAGCACACAGAGCCGGGGGACTCAGGAGGGAGGGCGGCTGTCACTGCCTCACCCATTCCTTTCCTATGCGGTTCTAGTCCAGGCTGTTGATGCTGTCCTTGGTGTTTCTGGCTGAGAGAAGGGGGTCTGTCTCCTGTTCCCGCCTTTGCTTTCTGCACCTAACTTTCCCCCAGCCTCAGCTTCCTCCTTACCTCTGCCAGCTCATTTATTCCCCGTAGTGACTGAAAGCTAGAGATGTTTATTTCCTTTTTATTTTTTTGAGAAGGATCTCGCTCTGTCACCCAGGCTAGAGTGCAGCGGCGTGATGTCAGCTCACTGTAGCCTCTGCCTCCCGGGTTCAAGCTGTCCCTCCCGTCTCAGCCTCCCCAGTAGCTGGGATTACAGGCACGCACCACGACGCTTGGCTAAGATGTTCATTCCCTTTGGAAAGATAAGGAAACAGGCTTGGGGTTGTGGAAGACCACTCTGCCTGGGAAGTGCGGAGCCTGGATGTGCACAGTTTCCTGACAGGGCAACCCCAGTTGTTCTGCTGTTATGCACACTGGACTTGTTGGTACACTCTGGAATATCCTGCCATTGGGCCTTATCTTAATTTGTCCTCCCACGACTGTTGCCCAGGTCTCAGACTCATAATTTCACTTTCCCTTAAAGGTAAGGCTGGCGTTTAGAGTAAGAAGCAAAGTGGTCCGGATGGGCAAGTTCTACTACCCTATCTGGGAGAGGAGGACCCTTTTGTGTGTGATGTGCCCAGGAGTACTGCAGAATCAATAACCATGGACTCCTCCGGACCTCCAAGACATAAGCCATTCCTGTTGTTTGAGGTACCATGGGCCATAAGGATGGGCAGAAGGGCAACCTCTTTAAAACCATCAAAAACAACTACGTATCATTCCAAGACTGAAAGAGCAGTATGCCTAGGATGTAAACTCTCTCAAATTCATCTGTGGATTCCACACAATCACAATCACAATCAAAATTCAAGCAGAATTTTTTTAAAAATAGAATTTGACAAGCTGGTACTAAAATGTGTATAGCAATGCAAAACATCTAAAATAGCCCAAATGATTTTGAAAAAGAACTGGGTTGGAGAACCCACCCTCGCTGATTTTAAGACCTACTGAAGAGCTATTTTACTCACGACTGCATAGCGCTGGCATAGGGTGGACTTATATATCAATGAGGCAGAATAGAGAGTCAAGAAATAGACCCATACATGTATGTCTAATTTATTCTCAAAAGAGGAGGCAAGACAGTTTGATGAATGAAAGGAAAATCTTTTCAACAAACTGTTCTGGAACAACTAAAAGTCCATACAGAAAGGAAAAGAAAAAAAAAACCATGAACCTTTATCCTTACTTTATTCTCACCATACCGAAAATGTGACTTGAAGTGGATTTTAACCTAAATATGAAAGCCAACTGTAGACTTTTAGAAAAAGCCGTAGGAGAAAACCTTCACAATCTTGAGTTAGGCAGATATTTCTTAGGACACAAAAAGCACAAACCATTAACAAAAAACAGTGATAAATTGAACTTTATCAAAATTTAGAACTTCTGCTCTTTGAAAACTACCATTAGGAAAAGACAAGCCGCAGATCAGAAGAAAATATTTATAATAAGTATATCTGACAAAGATCTTACATCTGAAATATGTAAAGAACTCTTACAACTTAAGAGTTCACAGACACCTTCCAAAAGAGAATATAGAAATGCCAAATAAGCCCATGAAAAAATGCTCAGCATCATTAGTTCATCAGAAGAAGTGTCAATTAAAACTGTGGATATTATTACACACTCCCTGGAATAGTTATAAAGACTAATAATCCTTAGTATTACTTAGTATCTGGAGCAATAATCACACAAATGATGCTGCTATGGATGTAAAATGGTACAACTACTTTTGAAAACAGTTTGGTAGTTTCTAACAAGGTTAAACATAAATTTACCATATGAGATGCCAACTGGACACTGAAGTATTTAGCAAAGTAAAAGGAAAACAAATGTCCCCACAAAGACTTACACAGGGAGTACAAAACACACAGTAGCTCCAAACTGCTGTGTCATAATAGCTTCAAACACATGCCAATCAACAGGTGAATGAATAAAAAACCTGTAAGCTTCACAGCTTGACTTAAATACAGCCATGTCACGAATCATCTTTTTAAATTACAAACATAGGTTTGTAATGTCATACTAGCAGTTTAAAAAGATGAGCTCATGATGCATTCAGCAATATGGATTACTCACACCACATTCTGCTGTGTGAAATAAGCCAGGCATAAAACAGTACACATCATAAGATTCTGTTCATATCAGTCTCTAGAAAAGACTGATCAACTGTTACAGCAATTATAAATAATGCTGCAATGAACATACATGTGCATGTATCTTTGTAATAGAATGATTTCTATTTCTTTGGGTATATACCCAGGAATGGGATTCCTGGATCAAATGTTATTTCTGATTTAGATGTTTGAGGAATCGCCATACTGTCTTCCCCAATGGCTGAACTAATTTACATTCCCACCAATAGTGTAAAAGTGTTCTTATTTCTCTGCAGCCTCACCAGCATCTGTTGTTTCTTGACTTTTTAGTAATGGCCATTATGTCTGGTGTGAGATGGTATCTCATTGTGGTTTTGATTTGCATTTCTCTAATGATCAGTGATGTTGAGCTTTTTTTCATGTTTGTTGGCTGCATGAATGTCTTCTTTTGAGAAATGTCTGTTCATGTCTTTTGCCCGCTTTCTGATGGGACTGTTTGTTTTTTTTCTTGTAAATTTATTTAACTTCCTTGTAGACTCTGGATATTAGACCTTTGTCTGATAGATAGATTGCAAAAATTTTCTCCCACTCTGTGGCATATATACACATGGAATACTATGCAGCCATGAAAAGGAATGAGATCATACTCTTTGCAGGGATGTGGATGGAGCTGGAAGCCATTATCCTCAGCAAACTAAACACAGGAACAGAAAACCAAACACCACATGTTCTCACTTATAAGTGGGAGCTGAACAATGAGAACACATGGACACAGGGAGGGGAACAACATACACTGAGGTCTGTTGGAGGGCAGGGTGAGGGAAGGGAGAGCATTAGAAAAAAACAGCTAACGTATGCTGGGCTTAATACCTAGGTGATGTGTCGATAAGTGCAGCAAACCACTGTGGCACACGTTTACCTGTGTAACAAACCTGCACATATACCCTGGAACTTAAAAATAAAGTCACAGCAAATAGATCAGGGTTGTCTAGAGCCAGGAGTGGAAACTGATTGTGTAAAGGCACAAGAAAACATTTTGATATGATAAAAATATCCTACACTTTTTTAAAATGTATTTTTATTTTTCATAGAGACAGGGTCTCACTGTATTGCTCAGGCTGGCCTCAAACTCCTAGGATCAGGCAATCCTCCCACCTCAACCTCCCAAAGTGTTAGGATTACAGACATGAGCCACTGTACTCAGCCCTGATATTTTATGTATCTTGATCGTAGTGGTGGCTATAAAGACATATACATTTGTGTGAGTGTATCCATGTATACATATATCTGAATATATATTTGTATTATGTACTCATCAAAATGAACATTTAAAGTGAGGGCATTTTATTGTATGTAAGCTATAACTCACTAAAGTTGCTGTAAAAAGACAACATATATCAGGTCTTTCTGACCTGCTTACTTCTAACCATTACAGTTCCCACTGCACTTAAAGCCCTGACTCCTCACCACATTCTACAGGGCCCTGCATGCTCTGGTGCCATCTCTCACCACTGTTTCCAAGGTCATTGTCTTCTAGGCACACTGGTCTACTATTATTCCCTTCTGTGGCCCTCCGCACAGGTAGCCCCACTGCTCTACGCTCAGCTCTGTGTCCCGTGCCTATAGGGTCTCCACCCCAATAGTTCTCTACTTAGCCTTTACTGCGAGTCATCATCATTAGCTCCCCAATTTAAATGTTGTCCCTCGACTATATTTGTCTATGACACTCTCTTCCTACCTAGGCCTTATCACAATTTATACGTACATGTGAATTAATGAGGTGTCCTCTTTTTAAACGTTTTTCCTACCCTAGACTGTAAGATCAAAACAGGATCAAGTTTGCTTTGTCCCCTACTGCATCCCTAGCATCTAGCAATGTCCCTGCAGATAGTCGAGTCTCCATAAATATTTGGTAGATAAAAGGATGGGCAAATTGATAAATCAACGAATCAATATTTTTCTTTAGGAAGTTGTTAGGAATCAGTGGATCACCATGGTGAGGGCTACATGTGGTGGAATAAAGGACTCAGCCTTGGGTGTGAGGCCCTGGCTGTCTCACTAATGCACAGACCAGACTGGATTCACTAGGTCAGGGTTGGGGCCCAGGAATTCTAACATTTAACAAGGGCCCCAGGGTAATTATGATGTAAGAATGTATGATAATAACTAGGTAAGCATATATATCTATAGCATATATATACACATATATTCCTATAAACACTTGCAAATCCATATGTAGAGATTTTTGAGCCATTGTTTCAAAAAATGCAATTCCTTACTCATTTAGCTGTATCTGTATTTTCTCATTCAACAATTCCTGGTAGAATCCCTCTAAGTTGCTTGACATGTTATTATTCTTTCCTCTTTATTAATAGATAAAGATACAGTGCAGGGTATGTGGTGGTTGTTAGTGCTATTCACCAATATTGTCTTCTTTTCCAGACACATGTACATAGAATTGTACTTCCTGGCTCATCTTTGGCTGAGTGGGGCCATGTGACTAGTCATAGCCAAGGAATTATGACTTCTGCATTGAAGCATTTAATCATCTGGTTCAAGGCCCTCCAGAACTCATTTCCCTGTGGCACAGCAACTGGAAATATTTAAGGTAATGTTCGTTCCATCAGCCTGGGTCCCTGAATGACCCCGGGGAACAGAGTCCTTTACTGGCTTCACTTGGACATATAGTATAAGCAATCAATCCATTGTTATTGTGTTAAGTTATTGAGCTTTTGGAGTTACTCCATATCAACACGCAGCCTAGCCTAACTGAAATATATTGTTGTACCAGAATTCATTCAATCATTCTTTGCCACTAACAATAGTACTCCAAGAACATCCTTTCACATATATCGTTAGACGCTGGTGTGAGTCTAGACAAATAGAGAAAAATATGGAAGGATACATAAAAGGCTGACATGGGTTCCATGGTTTTGTGGAGGATTTGTGGCTGAGAATTATTAGTATGGAGGAGGTTGGAGAGAGGAAGAAGATGCAAAGAAAAGAAAGAAAGCAAAAAGCTATGTACAATGTAATCACATTTATGTAATTCTGTAAAAGTATAAATCTTTATGCAGTCCTACATAAACATATCTATATCTATGTTTGAATTTTTAAAAAATAAATACTTAAATTACTAATTTTTAAAAAGAAAGCCACCAGAGCATTTAAGACCCTAATGAAAATGCAAATGTTATTTTGGATGCTCAAATACTAGGGGATTATGGAGCAGTTATTTAGGCTTCTGCTCCGGTCACATTAAGGGATTAGTAACTGCGTGCTGATGGAGAAGTGAAAGCACAGCATTCAGGGCAGCCTGGTGTTGATGCTGGGGAAGAGGATGGGCGGCGTGGGGGAGGGAAAGGGCTGTGATGCCTTTCGATATTAGGTCAAAAAGGGTGCTTCAGAGGGAGAAGGAATAGCAAAAGGGCTTTGGGAAAGCAGGTGAGGATACTGATTTGAAGGAGGGAGGTGCATAAGCAGAGCTAGCAAGAAGAACCTAGTCATCAATATATACCTGTGAGATCACCTGGTCTGTCATCATTTGATAAGAAGGAGCTATTTTCTTTTCAGATTATCTCCTGTAACTAGCACAATGCCTGACTTGTCAGAGTAAGAACCCACAAGCATTTGATGAGAGAGTGTGTGTGTGTGAGAAAGAAAGAAGCAAGGAAGGGACTTGATTACATAGCTTATCGGTTGCAGAGCCAAGAGTAAAAATTCAGATGCAGGCTCATTTTAGCTCCAGATTCTTCTAGGAGTACTTGAAAGAGATCCACAGAGAGATAAGAGGAAGGGAAAGAGAGAAGGGAGGGACATAGTGCTCTCTTTCTCTCTCTCCCTCCCTCCCTCTCTGTTTTTCCCCCTTCCCCTCTCTCAGAAGTGGAGGTGCATTGTATTGAGGGGAACACCAGTAGGCCCTTCTCCAGTAATTCAGGTTGTGTAACAGAAGGACACCCCTCCCTCTGTATGTGCTCCCCAGTGTTAGGAGCCTCTTAACTTGTCCATGAGCATTCGCCCCCTTTGGTTTTAACAGCCCACCAGCCATCTCTGCCTTAGTTTGTCACTTCCAATAGGCCCTGGAATCTGACCTCGTCAAGCACCCCGTGGGGTCAGGCAGTCTCCCAGTCCTCTCTGGACTCAACTGTCTGAAAAGGATTGGCCTGTAATTCGAACAAAATAGACTGTGAATATGTTAATGAGGGAGTGCTTTTATTTTCTGTAGCCTTTCTGTAGCATGTGCATTTTCCTGAGAAAGAGGATCTTTGGAGCAATCCACATGTCTTTTCCCTGGAAAGAGATCCTCAGAGCTATCTTTTCTACAACTGACCACATCCTGAAGATAATATCTCCTGGTCTGGTTATGCTAACTCTTCATGAAATGTAGAGAACTGGCCAAGGATTCGAAAGTGGTTAAACAGAGGATCTGATAAACTCATCTATATCAAGGTGTTAGGGTCTGATAACCCCTTAATGTGTTATCTTTCCAAGCAGACTTGCATTATTATAGAGCACAGAAAAAGTAAATTGTTATGCATTAGCTGATAAGGCAGTAGACGCTGGCTCAATTTTCCAAACATGAATATGTTTGATGTAAGTGGATCATAGAAACTAGGTGGTTGAGTATTAGATGATTCGGGATGTGGTAAGATACGGTGGATACAGGTTATTAAGAACTGAGTTTGGATTGTGTATCAAATGGTATGCTTTTAACCAGAAATAATAGATTACTGAACTAAATGTGGCTGAAAGATTGAGGAAATTTTACTATATTATATAACAACTCCAGTTTGGTTAATTCAACAGCAGGAAATGTTTCCTCTTTCTGTTGAACCCCATATGACTGAAAGGTGCTGTAGTTGTTCTATGTACTATGTGAATATGACAATCTTAATTATATCTCTCCCTTCACTCCTTGGGCAACTTTTTTCAATAGAGAGAAGAGCCTTTACAGAATCCCTTTGTATTAATCAACATGGACTTACAGCCATAACAAATATCACCAAAATTCTAATGGTCAAATACAATTAAGGCTTATTTCTTGCTCAGGTCATATTCTGGTTCAAGCAGACCAGAGTGAGGAGAATGTTCTGCTCCATGAAGACATTCAGGGATCCAGCCTCCTTCTATTTAGCAGCTTCAGCATCTTCTGGGATTTCAGAATAACACGCTGGATCCCCTGCACCTGCCCTGTGGATGGAAGGAAATGTAAGACATCCTCTTAGTTCTCATTGGTGATGTATGAGTTACTGTCAAGAAAATGAAAATCATCAGACTGGTTTATGTTGTGCACAAACCCTAACGTGGCCCCCAATATTCCCTGCCTTCTGGTATCCGTGCCTTTGTATAATCCCTTCTGCCTTGAATGTGAGTGAGATACGAGACTTTTTCCAACCAATGGAAGATGGCAAAGGTGTGTGAGTGAGAACATCCTTGAGTATGTTTTGTTAGAATGTCACGTTTGTGATTACATTATGTCACTTTATATAAGGCTCTGTCTCCCTGAGATTTCTGCTTGCTGGCTTGATGAATTAAACCAGGTGGAAAGGTTTTCTTTAAGTGGGCAGCCTCAAGCCAACAGCCAGCAAGGAACAAAAACTCTATATTCCACAATCACCCTGTATTCCACAACCCCGAGAAAATAAGTAAGCTTGGAAGCAGATTCTTCTCCAGTCAAGCTCCCAGAAGAGAACACAGCCAGGCTGACTCTTGAGTCCAGCCTTGTGATGGCCCAGGTAAGCCATGGCCAGGCTCCTGACTGATAGAAACTGTGACATTACACGTGTTATTTTGAGCTACTAAGTTTGTGATAATTCGTTGTGCAATAATAGCTTAGTTAAATCATGATTAACCACTGGAAGAAGAAGGAAGCCAACATATCTGATGCACTGGAGAATGAACATCCATTCAAAATCAGGCTCTTCCAGAAAAGACAAGGGACACTTGGCTATAGGTAGACCACAGACAGTGTTTGGCATAGTGTCTGCATTCAAATATATATATATATTTACATATATAAATGGAGGATCTGACATACATTATTTTGTTTTAACAGAAGTACAGAGAAGTTTTCTGTAAAATGGAAATGAGTATCATGAAGTTTTCAATGAACAGTGTGAAACAGAAGAAAACATCAGCATTCATTAGGTCCCAGACCTCTTTGAGAATCTGATGAAATTCTGGACAACCTCTCCTCCCACAAACAAGATGTACTTGAATACCTACACATAAAATGTTGCATTCAATTTTAGAATGTGAAGAGATCACTTGAGGCCTATCCAGAGGGCTCTAAGGTAGGTACGTACTACACAGGGCTTGGAGACCTGGACTGCTCTGGTCACGTAGATGTGAGAGGGTGATATCAGCGGACAGTTGTAGTGAGTAAGAAAATGTTCTCAGGAAACCTCAGCTTGTCGTTATATGGCAGAAACATGTTCAGATGTGTGACTCAGGGATTACTTAAAATAGTTGGAGCTGAAGACAATGAAGAGAGTATCCCAGGCGTCAGGGCTGATGGGTAAGGATGTGAGTTAAGGAAGGCACTGACACACTGCAAAGAGGAGAAGGTGAGAAAGCAGAGGAATGAGGGTGGAAGGAGCAAGAACTGCACCTTCCAGGTGCACTAGGGTATTACCACCTCCGCTTTCCCTGTGCTGGGGTGAGGAGGAGGAAAAAGAAAGGACTAGTAGAAGCTGTTTCTAAGAGATCTCTGGCTTCTCCATGAGAATTGCTGAACTTTGTTTCCGATTCAATGGCAATCCAAAAAAATTAATATAAGCATTTTTCCGTACCATATAGATAACCACCTTAAAACCAGCCACTGATTTCATTGTCCCCATTTGCCTTGGCATTGTGGTCCTGTCTGTAACAATTAGCACTACAATAATTGACGCAGTCTAGATAGAAAAGAACAGAGGGGAAATTGCAATGTAAATGGCACACTCCTGCCAAGTGAAAACCAAATGACTTCATGGATGCTGATGTGTTCATGGGAGAACTGAGTTGTCACAAGGCACGTGGAAGCAGAGGCAAGCCAAACTCAGAGGACCTGTTGGATGTGCTCATGTCCTGGGTGGTTGACTGAGTTTTAGCAAAGCAATACTGACTGTAATAGTTTGGATTCTGTCTGTAATAGTTTGGATTCTGTCATCTTCTTTGTATTTAATCTGTAAATTTGTTTTGGGTTTGTGGCTGCCACAGACAGCCTGTTCTTCTCTTTCTGGACATGTGGTAAAATGGCACGGTGAGCAGGACACATGATTAGTTCTGGCCGTTGAGTTATGAGTGCGAAGTGACGCTCCACAGTATTTAGCTGCAGTGTGAGTCTCTCCAGCACTGCCTTTGCCTCTCGCAGTATCTCCCTGTGTGCTGCTCCAGGTGCGTCCCAACTCCTCTGTGCCTCCTCTGGAAGCGGGTCTGTAGAAACTGGGTCCATGGTCTCCCTTCCATTCTAACTTCCAGTTGGATTTGGCCAATGGAGTGTTCTGGCAGGAGGCTGCAGGGCAGGAGGTGAATGGGGTCCAAAGAGTAGGAATAAGTGCCTTGGCTCCGTGTGCCAGGTCAGTCTGGGTTGGCTGCATCCCTCTGCCAGTCACTCTCCAGGTGCTGGTAACTGCTTCCCCACCTTGTGTCTTCACGGAAAGGCTGGCTAAGCATTTCTAGCCTTCTGGTAGTAAACTGTAACTTAACCGCTTTCCCTAACCCCTCCTTTGCCTTGTAAATAGTGCAAATAAATAACAGATAAACTGCTCCTCAAAGACTTCAGTTTAGGTGTCCTTTTTGTCTCTTGCCAGGACTTGGCTGGTGCAGTATTGGTGGCTGCTGGGTCAGATGAGCTCCCTGCTACTCAGAGAAACAATCAATGTTTGCAACCACTAAGAGGGACTTTTGTTATTACCGCCTATCCTGACAGATTCAGGCTATGACTATTTAAGGGGGTAAGTATAATAAATTAATAACTAGTTTTATGTTTTCAGATGTCTTAAAACTATTTAAGGGGATCCATGCAAAATGTTGTTCCCTCAAAAGAGGGCACATTTCTCTCACATGGAGAAACATTGGTAAGAGGTAAAGACTTTGAAGTCAGCCAACTTGATGTGGTGTGCAGGTGCTGCAATTTACTTCAGACAATGCATCTATAAAAGGAAGATAAGAGCTCAGCAGGCAAGATGACCAAATAGGAACAGCTCCCAGTGAGATCGCTGCAGAAGGCAGGTGATTTCTGCATTTCCAACTGAGGTACCCCAGTTCATCTCACTGGGACTAGTTAGACACTGGGTGCAGCCCACAGAGGGCGAGCCAAAGCAGGGTGGGACATTGAGCATCAGGAACCATGCACTCCAGCCCAGATACTGTACTTTTCCCATGGTGTTTGCAACCGACAGACCAGGAGACCCCCTCCGGTGCCTACCCTACCAGGGCCCTGGGTTTCAAGCACAAAACTGGGAGGCCATCTGGGCAGAAAATGAACTAGTTGCAAGAGCTATTTTTTGTTCATACCCCAGTGGCGTCTGGAACACCAGCATGGCAGAACTGTTCACTCCCCTGGAAAGGGGTGCTGAAGCCAGGGAGCCAAGTGGTCTGGCTAGACAGGTCCTGCCCCCGTGGAGCCAGCAAACTAAGATCCACTGGCTTGAAATTCTCACTGCCAGCACAGCAGCAGCCTGAGATCAACCTGGGACACTCCAGCTTGGTGGAGGGAGGGGTATCTGCCATTGCTAAGGCTTGAGTAGGTGGTTTTACCTCAACAGTGTAAACAAAGCCACCGGGAAGTTCAAACTGGGCGGAGCCCACTGCAGCTCAGCAAGGCTGCTGTGGCCAGACTGCCAGATTTCTCCTCTCCGGGTAGGGCATCTTTGAAAAAAAAAAAAGGCAGCAGCCCCAGGCAACTAATAGATAAAACCCCCATCTCCCTGGGACAGAACACCTGCAGGAAGGGACAGCTGTGGGCACAGCTTCAGCAAACTTAAACCTCCCTGTCTGATGGCTCTGAAGAGAGCAGTGGACCTCCTGGCACAGCATTCGAGCTGTGCTAAGGGTCAGAATGCCTCCTCAAGTTGGGTACCTGACTGGGAGCCACCTCCCAGTAGGGGCTGACAGACACCTCATACAGGAAAGCTGTGGCTGGCATCTGGCAAGTGCCCCTCTGGGATGAAGCTTCCAGAGGAAAGAAAAGGCAGCAATCTTTGCTGTTCTGCAGCCTCTGCTGGTGATACCCAGGCAAACCGAATCTGGAGTGGACCTCCAGGAAACTCCAGCAGACCTGCAGCAGAGTGGCCTGATTATTAGAAGGAAAACTAACAAACAGAAAGGAATAGCACATCCACTCAAAGACCCCATCTGAAGGTCACCAACATCAAAGACCAAAGGTAGATAAATCCACAAAGGAGGGGAGAAACCAGAATACCTCTTCTCTGCCAAAGGATCACAACTCTTTGCCAGCAAGAGAACAAAACTGGATAGAGAATGAGTTTGATAAACTGACAGAAGTAGGCTCCAGAAGGTGGGTAATAACAAACTCCTCTGAGCTAAAGGAGCGTGTTCTAACCCAGTGCAAGGAAGCTAAGAACCTTGAAAAAAGGTTAGACAAATTGCTAACTAGAATAACCAGTTTAGAGAAGAACATAAATGACCTGATGGAGCTGAAAAACACAACACGTGGACTTCATGAAGCATACATAAGTATCAATAGCCAAATCAAGTAGAAGAAAGGATATCAGAGATTGAAGATCAAGTTAATGAAATAAAGCAAGAAGACAAGATTAGAGAAAAAAGAATAAAAAGGAACTAACCAAACCTCCAAGAAATATGGGACTATGTGAAAAGACCAAATCTATATTTTATTGGTGTAGCTGAACGTGACAGGGAGAATGGAACCAAGTTGGAAAACACTGAGGAGAATGTCCCCAACCTAGCAAGGCAGGCCAACATTCAAATTCAGGAAATATGCAGAACACTACAAACATATTCCTCAAGGAAAGCAACCCCAAGACACATAGTCACCAAATTCACCAAGGTTGAAATGAAAAAATGTTAAGGGCAGCCAGAAAGAAAGGTCAGGTTACCCACAAAGGGAAGCCTGTCAGGCTAACAGTGGATCCCTCTGAAAAAACCCTACAAGCCAGAAGAGAGTAGGGGCCAACATTCAACATTCTTAAAGAAAAGAATTTTCAATCCAGAATTTCATATCCAGCCAAACTAAGCTTCAGAAGTGAAGGAGAAATAAAATCCTTTATAGACAAGCAAATGCTGAGAGATTTTTGTCACCACCAGGCCTACCTTACAAGAGCTCCTGAAGGAAGCACTAAACATGGAAAGGAACAACTGGTAACAGCTACTGCAAAAACATACCAAATTGTAGAAACCATTGACACTATGAAGAAACTGCATCAACTAACAGGCAAAATAAGCAGCTAGTATCATAATGACAGGATCAAATTCACACATAAAAATATTAACCTTAAATGTAAATGGGCTTCATGCCCCAGTGAAAAGACACAGACTGGCAAACTGGATAAAGAGTCATGACCCATTGGTGTGCTGTATTCAGGAGACCCATATTACATGCAAAGACACACATATAGGCTCATTTACCAAGCAAATGGAAAGCAAAAAAAAAGCAGGAGTTGCAATCCTAATCTCTGATAAAACAGACTTTAAACCAACAAAGATCAAAAGAGACAAAGAAGGCCATTACATAATGGTAAAGGGATCTATGCACCAAGAAGAGCAAACTATCCTAAATATATATGTACCCAATATAAGAGCACCCAGATTCACAAAGCAAGTCCTTAGAGACCTACAAAGAGACTTAGACTCCCACACAATAATAGTGGGAGACTTTAACACCCCACTGTCAACATTAGACAGATCAATGAGACAGAAAATTAACAGGGATATTCAGGACTTGAACTTAGCTCTGGGCCAAGCAGACCTAATAGACATCTACAGAACTCTCCACCCCAAATCAACAGAATATACATTCTTCTCAGCACCACATCACACTTATTCTAAAATTGGTTACTTAATTGGAAGAAAAACACTCCTGGGCAAATGTGAATGAATGGAAATCACAACAAACAGTCTCTCAGACCACAGTGCAATCAAATTAGAACTAGGATTAAGAAACTCAAAACCACACAACTACATGGAAACTGAACAACCTGCTCCTGAATGACTACTGGGTACATAACAGAATGAAGGCAGAAATAAAGATGTTCTTTGAAACCAATGAGAACAAAGACACAATGTACCAGAATCTCTGGGACACATTTAAAGCAGTGTGTAGAGGGAAATTTATAGCACTAAATGCCCACTAGAGAAAGTAGGAAAGATCTAAAATTGACACCCGAACATCACAATTAAAAGAACTAGAGAAGCAAGAGCAAACATTCAAAAGCTAGCAGAAGGCAAGAAATAACTAAGATCAGAGCAGAACTGAAGGACACAGAGACATGAAAAACCCTTCAAAAAATCAATGAATCTAGGAGCTGGTTTTTGGAAAAGAGCAACAAAACTGATGGACCACTAGACAGACTGAAAAAGAAGACGAGAGAAGAATCAAATAGATGCAATAAAAAATGATATAGGTGATATCACTGCTGACTGATCCCCCAGAAATACATACTACCATCAGAAAATACTATAAACACCTCTACACAAATAAATTAGAAAATCTAGAAGAAATGGATAAATTCCTGGACACATATACCCTCCCAAGACTAAACCAGGAAGAAGTCAAATCCCTGAATAGACCAATAACAAGTTCTGAAATTGAAGGCAGTAATTTAATAGCCTACCAACCAAAAAAATCCAGGACCAGATGGATTCACAGCTGAATTCTACCAGAGGTACAGGAGAAGCTGGTACCAGTCCTTCTGAAACATTCCCAATCAAAGAAAATGAGGCCAGAGTCATCCGGATACCAAAACCTGGCAGAGAAGCAACAAAAAGAAAATTTCCAGGCCAATACATCCCTGATGGAACCATCAATGCCAAAATCCTTCACAAATAAAATACACAAACGGAATCCAGCAGCACCCAAACAAGGCTTATCCATGACGATCAAGTTTGCTTCGATACCTTGATGCAGACTGGTTTCAACCATACACCAAATCAATAAATGTAATCCATCACATAAATCAGAACCAATGACAAAAACCATAAATGATCTATCTCAATAGATGCCAGAAAGGCCTTCAACAAAATCACACCCCATTCATGCTAAAAACCTCAATAAACTAGGTATTTTCAATGGAAATTATCTCAAAATAATAAGAGCTATTTATGACAAACCCACAGCCAGTATCATACTGAATGGGCAAAAACTGGAAGCATTCCCTTTGAAAACCAGCACAAGACAAGGATACCTCTCTTACCACTCCTGTTCAACATAGTATTGGAATGTCTGGCCAGGCAATCAGGCAAGAGAAGAGAAAAGGGTATTCAAAATAGGAAGAGAGGAAGTCAATTGTATCTGTTTGCAGATGACATGATTATTATTTAGAAAACCCATTGTCCAGGTCAAAATCTCCTTAAGCTGATAAGCAACCTTCAGCAAAGTCTCAGGATACAAATCAATGTGCGAAATCACAAGCATTCCCATACACCGAGTAACAGACAAACGCCAAACCATGAGTGAACTCCCTTCACAATTGCTACAAAGAGAATAAAATACCTAGGAATCAAACTTACAAGGGATGTAAGGACCTCTTCAAGGAGAACTACAAACCACTGCTCAACGAAATAAAAGAGGACACAAACAAATGAAGACATTCCATGCTCATGGATAGGAAGAATCAATATCGTGAAAATGGCCATACTGCCCAAGGTAATTTATAGATTCAATGCTATCCTCATTACACTACCATTGACTTTATTCACAGAATTGGAAAAAACTACTTTAAAGTTCATATGTAACCAAAAAAGAGCCTGCATA